GGTAGCTCAAAATGAGACGAGAAAAAATCCCAAAGATGATGTGAACAATGGCGTATGTGAGTAGATGCAGCTGCGACTTGACAAACGTCCGTATTGGTGTCTTTCGAGGAGCCTTCTTGCGCCGCTGAGTTGGTCTGCGTGGAAGATCAGACGGGTCTGGCAGATATGGCCTTAGCAATTTCTCGCGCTCAGCAGCATTGAGCTTCGTTCCTCGAGAGCGAATATCATCCCTGAACAATTCTCTATCACGCTGCGTAACCATGATTTATTATCTGTGAGCGCTAGCGCAGAGTTACTCCCAGATGTTTTGATTATGTTGAGGAGATGTAATTCGTATGGGTATTATTAGACAGTAGTTCGGGAGTCCAGGCGGCGGGTGGCAGTGGTACTAGTGGTGGGTCCCAAGGACCGAATTCGATTCGAGCTTGGGAAATCCCAAGTGCTCCTCCGTACAAGATCGGTAACTAGCTGGAATACGGACTACTCCATATTCATACAAGGTGTGTAGAGATAGGTGTATCCATGCACATGGCATCCAAGTTTGCAGTGCTAGTATTGATGCGCCAGTCTAATCCGTAAGGTGATCTAATTATATATCTAGTCCTGCGATATCAGTACCAACGGCCATTCTAGCACTAGTGACTATTGGTTGATGAGAAAGACCCGGACTATGGATGCTGTGTGAAGAAATAGTACTCCTAGGTGCAGCTTAATACACCATGTTTATCTACTAGATCCCGCGGGTTTATTCGAAATATGTTCTTACTTCTCCTCGTTGGTAACACTGATAGTCATAACAGAGTGCTGAATAGTCCTACTGCACCCTAGCATACCACTACTAGGGATAGGGAGTTAGAAGAAAGATCAGATAATTAGAGCAGATATAAGGCATTCAACAAATTGAATTTAGCAGTGAGGTGGTATAATGTTTGTTTCGTCGTTCAGTAGTTAGCTTATTGAAGCTATGCAGTTATGTAATCCGCTAGACCAGAAACCCATCTATCCCGTCCTCCCGATAATGGACCACCTATCTAGTACTCCGTAGTTGGGCTGCCCCGTAATTCTTGTTGCTCTTCTCTCCGCATTCACGGCGCAATCAAGGGCATCGGTTGACGCTCACCGTGAAGTCCGGATTGCACAACAATCCATGCTGATATCAATGCAGATAGACCCGGCTTTTAGTTATAAAGATGCCGGACGATGCGTCCTCGATTACCCCACTCAACGCTGCATCTCGATCAGTGTTCCCAACAGGTCCCAGCTTCACCCTTGAGGACTTCTCAAGTCGCGACTTCATTGTCAAGGAGTTTATCGAGGCGCTGTCGGACTCCGCCATTTCGAATCGTCGTTCTACAATCACGCCTACAACCGGAAACCAACCGTTTGACCCGAAGCCACTTATCAGGACCCTTGAGCACGCACAGCGGCGCCTCGGTGAAATCTCCGGCGACCTAGAGATCAGAGAAAATGAATTGTCTGCGGCAGTTCGCAGGGCGGAGGCACAGCATTCCCAGAACCTCAATACACTGGGTAAGAAGCTAAAACAGACAATCGAGTCTTTTCAGCAGCTCGACACCTCGCTCAATGGTGCCGGGCTATCAGGTGTAGAGCTTGCCGGGGGCACCGGAAATATGGCTGTCGAGACTGGAAAGAAATTGGAGGAATTAGACCGCCAAAGACGCCGGGCGCTTGATGCCCGCTTTCTGCTCGAGTGTTGGGATGGTGTGAGCAACAGGGGCGAGCTAACGCTTCTAGAGAACCTAAGACGTTCCGGAACTGGTGAGGCCAAGGTACGGTCGGCACAGATCGCGCGGCAACTGCTTCGAATAAGTCAAAGACTCGATACCGAGAGCTGGAACGATTCGAGTGGAAGGTCCGCTGGGCTCCCCGGAATTGGAGTTATATCTGCAGACGATAACATAAATGGCAAAGGGAATGGGACCAGACGGAACACTCGTGAAATCATCGAGAAGTTTTCTGAAACTTTGGAGAATGATTTATTAAAGCAATTTGACGACTTCTACCGCAAGGCAAATTTCGAAGGCATGAAGGACTGCGCAACTGTACTTCAGGATTTCAACGGTGGTGCAAGCGTCATTGCTTTATTCGTCAACCAGCACCAGTTCTTCATCGATCGAAGCCAGCTAGTTACAGAAGAAGTAGGGGGCGATCTAGAGACGTGGGAGATGCTCGCAGACCCCGATGCTGAACCTCTGAAAGTGGAACCTAGCCTTCAGTCTTTGATCGATGAAGTCAAGGTCGTAGTGCAAGAGGAATCGGCCATCATCCGGCGAGCCTTTCCATACTATGAGCAGGTCCTCGGGAAGTTTTTGCAACGCGTGTTTCAGCAGTCTATTCAGCAAAGATTAGAAATGGTCTTGGAAAAGGCAAACAGCGTTTCGTCACTAGCATTTCTACGATCCTTACAGAGCTCTCGAAGTTACATCAGTGCTCTTGTTGATGATCTGAAAAGCCATGGGCTGACAGAACACCCGGATCCAATCTCTTCACAAACGGCTTTGGTCCTTGACCAGCAGTTGGAAGACTTGTTCGTACCTTATTTCGTTGGATCGTCATATATAGAGAGGGAGAAGAGGACACTGGAAGAACTTTATACGTCCTTGCTTTTCAAGTTCACTACTTTTCATGCACGCAGAAAAAAGGCAGCAACAACTTTCATGGCATCCCTTTCCAAATCCGGGACTGAAATGCTTTCTTCGGCTCGTGACGCATATTTGAGTCGTCTGGAGTCTTCGGAATTTCCTCCAACCCAAAGAAGATTGCTACTCCAAGTGGCAGGATTGAGAGAGTCTAGCGACCTCTCAAAACCTACTGATATTAAACTGACCGAAGAAGACGGCATCCCAAGCATATCTTCTGCAAAGCGAATGCTTAAGTGGCTTGCCGAAGCAGTTGGCAGAGGCTTAGAGCTTAGCGTTAATAGTGAAACACCCAAGGATATGCTTGCACTATTGACTCTCCTTCTTTCAGTAATGGGAGAAGGGTTCATTGAAGTGTCTCTAGATGCCGCACTGGAAGCAGCAACATCGCAAGAGTCTGGGAAAGCAGAGCCGGATTTTGCATATTTACCAGCCATTCGGAATGCTATTGGTATTGCAAACTTGATGGTTATGTGCATAAATACTTTACTCATCCCACTTGCGGCGGGTAGTATTACCATCCGGCGGGAGATGGAGAAGAAAACAAGTCTCATCACTATGCGCATAGAAGAGAAGATCAACATACTTGAGCAGAAGGTCATTGACAATACACTAACATGGACTGGCAAACTCCTGTCTGGTCAAAAGAAAAACGATTTCCGACCCAAGGAGGGGGATAGTACGGCTTGGTTGGAAAAGCTACAAACACCTGTGAGTTATGATGATAAGGTCTACTTTCAACCTCTGGCAGGCCATGCTAATCTATCTTAGACCTGTGCTACAATCTGCACATTCCTGACTCGTGTGCATAACGTGGTGAAGACATCCTTGCCGCCCAGTGGCTCCAATATTCGCCAACTGCTGACAGAAATTGCCATTGGAACGCGCACTCTCCTGCTGGATCATTTCAAACGGTTCGTTGTTAATGGGCCTGGCGGGCTTATGGTTACCAAGGATATGACGCAATATACAGACCTCCTTAAGTCCTGGGACATCGAGGAACAGGTCAAAGGACCAAGCGGTACGCTGGACGTACTGCTGGAAGTGGGCAACCTCTTCGTTATCGGCTCTGAAGCTTTACGTGAAAGAATTCGTGGTGGTACAGGGAGTGGTACTGGTGGAAGCGCTGGAAATAATACTGGAAATAGCCCAGGCCGAAGCCTCGGGGGTTCCGGCCAGACGGAAACAGGCCTTAGCGTCCAGGAGGTCAGGGCGTATGTTTCCCGCAGAGAAGATTCCAACACAGCTGCGCTGCAGAGTGTCCTTAATATTCTGTGATAGGGAACAGTGTGGACACAGCCAATAACTATGGATAATGAAGACTTGACCGTGTTAGACTCCGTACGGAGTATATCTCCAACCAGGGCTAATAGTCTATGTAGTGTACTAATATTCTTTTCCTTCCTTCTCTGTCTTCTGTTGTTCCCCCTCTCTTTCTTTTCCGGCTTAGAGGGAAAATGAAAAGGGGGACGGGCATGCCCGGCGACTTACCCCTTTACTAGTCCGGGAGCTAGTCAGCTAGTGGCAGGATTGACAATCTACTTTAGTTGATGAACTACATAATGCCATCAAGGAGGAGGGAATTAACTTGATAGTATAAATGGCGTCAGATTTTTATGCTCCAACCTATTAATCTTGTCCTTGTATATTAATTGACTAATTTACCTCCGCCGGATAGACCCTCTTCATGATTAACTGAGGAGCCTAGGCTTTGCTTCTTCGTAATTAGAGTTAAGTACAGATTTCTCCCGTATATAACTCGTGCATGTGTGTACCCGCACTACTGCGGAATAATAATGATGCCTGCATATAACTATTTTCCCCATGTGCCCCACTTGTTGATTAGCAGGAGCTAGTCCATGTATCCGAAGTTACCCTGTAGATAGTGTTGCCCATGATGAGGGTGAACCCGTTGAGCTGCTAAGGGATTCCTACTATTTTCGGCGCTATTTCGATACTATTGGAGACAATTTATACCTCCAGGATCCTTGATAGATAATTCAAATACTTGTACAAAGTCAAAGGGCTCATCCGGTAGTACTCTTCCCTCGAAGTCCAGCAACCATAGCACCACGTTTTTCGCATTAATTCCCTTACAGAGAACTGGTTGTGTAAACATGGACGTCTTTCCATTCCAGAAGAATCAGCTTACTTGCATTAAGTGCAACCCCTCACATGAGCTGAGGCGTGATGATGTTCGCGATCAGAAGCTTGACAAAGCAGAGCGCTTAGTGTAGGCTCATATATAATAGTGTCTGCATTCTTTTGTTGTTGTTTCTTTTTCTTTTTCTTTTTTATTTTATTCTTTTATGGCTTAGCTTTTCCCTGCGCGGTATAGATCGCAATGACTCGAGGATACCCTCACTATTGACTCTAGCTTTCAGGGGCTTACCCCTTCAGTTCGCTTGATAGATGCATTTCGGGCCTAACCAACACTAGTTGCCCATAGAGGCTAGATTATAACTCTGAAGGAAATTCGGAGCACATGTGTACATGCATTCAATCCCAGAGAAGCTCTCGTGGGAAATGATACTCTTTCCAAACCCTTTGTAACCCAAAACCGCCTCCTATATCACTAAGCCTGTCTTGTCGACATTCAGCCATTTCAGACGTCAAAGATCAGTCAGTCTCATATGTTAAAGACGCTGTAACATCACCTTCGGAGTACAATATTCATCTTTCACTGTTTTATCTACGAGTAATCTCACGCCGACATGGATAACCTTCCTGGTGATGTCTTGCGGTGGTTTGGTGAGGAGCATGACCTTGATCTTGCCCTCGAAAAGGATCCCACCAACTACGTCAACTCACCAATGAAGATGCCACACCAAAAACTGAAGAGACCCTGCATCAGAAGGACATTGTCTTTGACTTCTGCCACCCTTATTCGACAACCATCGTTTGCTGCTTCGCACAAGAACCACCGACATTCCAGCCAGTCTCCCGTCACGTCGTCCTTCTTAACCAACCTTCTTACTCGAGAATCTAAATCTCGTCCGCTATCGAGCCAAGCGCAAGGCGATCATAGTCTCCAATCATCCTTTTGCAGCATTGATCCGGGTGCTCAGCATTACCAGGATCCAGAAGCGCGCCTCAAACTACGACTCTACCTAGCATCCCCGCATAATTTCGACGAAGCCATCGAGTTCGGCTTTCCGGCCCCAGCGGATGAGGACACGACATCAGGGCTGCCCGGTGTACCAAAGCAGAGCCCAAAGCCCCAGAGTAGTAGGCGAAAGATATACCCAGCTGTGGCTAAGAATGCAGACCTTTTCACAGAGGCCAATGTTACTATATCAGACGCCGTACAGCCGCCCCGGCTCTTGGAGCATCCCATCTCAGACAAGCATATCTCACCGAGTAAAACGCAACAATCTTGTTCAGGCGATAAGGGCATTGGCAAGCGGCTTGATCCAAACAATCGCGAAATGACACTGAAGATGACGTTGACACGACCAGATCTTCGAACAAGCTCCTGGGAGGCCGTTTCACCGGTTACTCCGGTGTCTACCGAGTCATCTTCAGCAGAAGGAGACCCACAAACTCGCAATGCTGATGAGAATATACGACACAAAATGAAAAATGTGTGGTGCAAGCTTAGGGTATGGAAATAGGGCTGGATTTGCAGATGAAATGTATGTTATGAATGAGTATGTCATATCGTTACCTTTTTAATGGCTCATCTATTGTAGTCTTCTTTTACTGTGCTTTATGATATGTCATGTTCTATCCAGTTTGCTTGGTGAGCTACTGCTGCCTCCTTTCGAGAGGACCATTGGCATTGGAGTATGGCTATCCTCTCATTTATATAGATTCAAGGCTGCTGTGGCCCTTCCCTGGGTTACAATGATGCAAGGTACTGCTCGCCTATACCAACAAGCATAGTATAAGATACTATTACTGTTGTGCCTCGCCGCCAATCGCTTCTCCACATTGGTTCAAGTATTTCGTATCTATGCTCGTTATGCTCGTTAATGTACGAGCTTAGCCTCCTTGTACCAGTAATCCCACATCCCCGCTTGTACGAGATGCGCGCGATCTAACTTGCACCCTAACTAGTATTGGTGACAGGCCAGTAACAACCTAAATTATACGCCAAGACAGTGGGTTATTGACTCACTGTAAGCACATCCCCATAATCAAAGTGCAGGAAAGTCATGTGCTAATATCACGGTTTTTATATATATATTAGAATTGAGTCACTAGGGATTGTCGGACTGTATGCAGTTTATGGTTCCCTATGGCACAAATGTCATCTCATAAGAAAAACCTTATTAGTTATACTTTGGTATTCGAATATGATCGGAATATGGCAGTAAGCCAAATTCTGGTTGCACCAGCAGACTCGGAGATCCTCGCTGCGATGACAGTCTTTGCTATACCTTGCTCCCCAAATTAGGAACTACGACCTGCCTAGCACAAAGTGAGAAGAGGACCGCTAGAAGCTAGGACCTTATGATGGTTTCAATAGATTACTTGTTCAAAAGAAAGAAGGTGCTAGATACCGTGACATTAGGAAGGCCACTAAATGGCTCCAAGTAAGTTCATATTGTATTATAGTTGTAGGAATGGTGGTCGAGTGTCGCATGGTTCCAGGAAATGAATTAACGTTTTCGAAGACCCCGGATCCGGCCAATTCTGGGTCAGGGTTCATCCACTCCATACGTCAAGCGCGCGCGCGCCCGGCTGAAACCGAGGTCTAGACGTGCTGCGATAAGCATGCTGACCACGTGACCGTGGGAGCTTCCCTGCGGCCACGCAGCTGCAGCGATCACCGAGACAATATTCCCTGCTTGCTCATCAACCGGAACGTCCTCGGCCTCAGACTACCTATTCACAAAAGATACATAATATACTTGATTTGCATCAACTGTGCTTTTCAGCAGAATCTTCTATTCAAAGCAATCATCCGGCCACATTTGCCGGTTATCAGCTCTTACGCCCTTCAAATGTGTTGTACTTCACGGCCATGATCTTTCGATGGCTCGTGCTGGTGAGCTGCCTTTTGGTGGCTCTTATTCCCCAGCAAAGCTCTGCGAAGAAATCCGATCAACCGAAGGTCACGGCGACTAAGCTTGAACATGAACCCTTTTCTCTCTTCTATTTCGAGGACTCAGAAACTGTTCTTATGAGTCTGAAGAATGGAGACTTCAAGCAGTCTTTCAACGGGGGGGAGGATTGGGATGACGTGGTTAGCAGCGAGGATGGTAGTGTGGCACAACCAGTGGTTTTCATACGACAGCACCCGTTCGACAAGAATAAGGCTTATGCTCTCGGTTTTAACGGACATCACTTGGTCACAACGGATCAGGCCAAGACGTGGAGATCGTTCGATATAGGCGACCAGCCGGCCTTACAGCACTCGCCCCTTGTTTTTCATGGTTGGGACTCGAGTAAGGTCATATACCAAAGCGAAGAATGTGCCGGGTTTTTCTGCATTGTGAGGTCGTACTACACGACTGATGATTTCAAGACCGTTAGGCTGTTGCGGGAGAGTGCGGCAGGGTGCTCCTGGGCAGTTGGGCACCCTCACTTCGCTGAAGATTTGAATATGAACCAGGAGTTGAAGGACAGATCACTATGCGTCGTTCCTGGGTTGAAGGTGCCCTTTGGACACGCCAACCGCTTGGTATACTCGGATGATTACTTCGTCAGTAACATTGAAGGCACAGAGGTGAACTTACATGAGGGCCGGCCTGTCTCCGGTGTTATTAGCACAGCCGCTGTCAAGAAGTTCATTGTGGCCGCCGTCAAATCCAAGGGAACAGAAGAGCTTGCCTTGTTTGTGACAACGGATACGAATACCTGGCACCGAGCCGAATTCGATGGGCATCGGGTAGAGCAGGACGCGTATACAATGTTGGAGAGCACCAACTATAGCCTGCAGGTAGACGTCCTGACTAGCCCATCCAGCAACATGGGTGTCCTATTCACTTCCAATTCGAACGGTACATTCTTCAGCCGCAATATTGAACACACCAATCGCGATATGGAAGGAACCGTCGACTTCGAAAAGATTGCTGGCATTCAAGGCATAGTTTTGGTCAATACGGTGAAAAACCCGAAAGAGGTTGAGTCCGGGCAAGCGAAAAAGGTCATCAGCAGAATAAGTTTCGACGATGGGCGAAGTTTCCAACCTCTCAAGGTTGGTGAAAAGAATTTACATCTACATTCCGTGACTACCTTCGCCAATATCGGCCGGGTCTTTTCCAGTCCAGCACCAGGATTAGTCATGGGAATTGGCAATACAGGTGATCACCTTCAGAAATACACCGACGGCGATCTTTATATTTCGGATGATGCTGGTGTGACCTGGCGTCATGCTCTTGACGGGCCGCATAAGTACGAGTTTGGCGACCAAGGAGCTGTGGTTATGGCAATCAGCGATAAGGGCAAATCCAACAAGATTAGCTTTTCTCTTGACCATGGCAAGGAATGGGAATCGGTGGAGCTTGAACATAAAATATATCCTACCATGGTCACTACGACACCAGACTCCACGAGCCTAAGGTTTCTACTAGTCGGCAAGCAAAACGAGGAAAGCGGGTACATTGTCTATTCCATTGACTTCAAGGGATTGCATGAGCGGAAATGCGAAGAAGATGACTTCGAGAAGTGGCCAGCTAGACTAGACGAAAATGGCGAGCCAGACTGCTTGATGGGTCACAAACAATTCTTCCGCCGCAGGAAGGCGAATGCTGACTGCTTCGTGGATGAGGAGTTCAAAGATCCGCAGCCAATTATGGAACCATGCAAATGTACGGCAGAAGACTTCGAATGTGAGTTCAAAGGCAGCGAGGACGGAAAGAGTTGTATCCCGGCCTTACTGCCAACGCCCCCAGAAGGGTGCAAAAACCCCGATGATACCTTCATGGGACCATCTGGTTGGAGACTGATACCAGGTGACACTTGCATCCGTGATGGCGGCAAGAATTTGGATCACGATATTGAGTGGCGTTGCAAGGATGCAGGCAATGTGCCCACATCTGGCGAGATCAGCGTGGAAAAACAATACTTTGACGCAAGGCAATTCAGTGCTTACTATTATCTAGAACGCCAGTCAAGCAGTTCTGGTAATGACGAGACGATTGTTATGCTCACCAGTGAACGTGCGCTCTATGTATCACATGATCATGGGAAGACATGGAAGCAGCCACTGAAAGGAGAAGCAATCAACAGAATCGTTCCTCACCCATATAACAGTGATGGTGCTTTCTTCTTGACAGACGGTGCTGAAGGCTTTTGGACTGTTGACCGTGGCCAGTCATTCAAGCCTTTCGATGCACCAGCGCCTCCAACTGAGGAACGCCTTCCAACCCTTACGTTCCATCCTCAGTACCAAGACTGGTTGATCTGGACAGGGGCCGCTGATTGCGGATCTGGTGATTGTCACTCCAACGCCTACATCAGTAAAAACCGCGGGGACAATTGGGAGCTGCTGCAACGCTATGTTCAAAAGTGTGAATTCGAAAGCAGGGAAGGCCGTGAAGATAGCACGAACCTCATATTCTGCGAGCAATTCGAGAATGAGAACAAGAACAACCGACTACAACTCATATCCAGTGAGAACTGGTTTTCAGACTCGAAGGTTCATTTCAGAGATGTCACCAACTATGCCACTATGTCTGAGTTCATTGTTGTGGCTTCAAGAAATCCAGAAAAGCCCGAATCTTTGGTGGCGAGCAGCAGCGTCGATGGTAAGACATTTGCGGAGGCAAAATTTCCTCCCAATGTCAATGTCCCTGTCCAAATGGCATATACCGTTCTGGAAAGTTCTACTCACGCCGTTTTCCTGCATGTTACAGTAAGTAACTCGGAAGGGGCCGAGTACGGATCGATTATCAAGAGTAATAGCAACGGAACTTCCTATGTGCTCAGCCTTGGTGCGGTGAATCGAAATTTCCGGGGGTATGTTGACTTTGAGAAGATGCAAGGCATAGAAGGCGTGGCAGTTGCCAACGTTGTCAGTAACGTGAACAAGCTGTCAAATGGGGAGCCGAAAAAGTTAAGGACAATGATTACCCACAACGATGGAGGGCAATGGACCTTGCTTTCTCCCCCAAGTAAGGATGCAGAGGGCAAGGACTTTGGGTGTTCTGTTGAAGGAGAAGGCGTTCCTGGCTGTTCGCTCCACCTTCACGGCTATACAGAACGCAGGGATGAGCGGGACACTTTCTCGTCCAGTTCAGCAATCGGCTTGATGCTCGGAGTCGGTAATGTTGGTGACCACCTCGGTGGCGAAGACGAGGCCGATACGTTCATAACCCGGGATGCTGGCTTCACATGGAAGTCCGTCAAGAAGGGCAGGTACATCTGGGAGTTTGGTGATGCCGGCTCTTTGATTGTAATCGTGCCTGAGTCGAAGCCCACCAAAACTCTTTACTACAGTCTTGACGAGGGTGACACGTGGTTAGAATTTGTCTTCTCAGACGTGGAGATGCAGATCGATGATATCTCCACAGTACCATCCGACACTTCCAAGAGTTTTCTTCTCTGGGGCAAAGAGCTTAAATCGGATTACCGAGATAAGCTCGCAACAGTAAGCGTTGACTTCAGTGGGCTCCGTTCCTCTTCGTGCAAGTTGGACGAGAATAAAGCTGAGAGCCATGATTATTACCTCTGGGAACCAAAACATCCGTTCCAGGACGATAATTGCCTGTTTGGCCATGTTGAGCAGTATCATCGGAAGAAACAGTCAGCTCAATGTTGGAACGACTGGCGTGAGCCTCATGTTCACAGCATCGGAGAGAACTGCCCCTGCACGAGGGCTGATTTTGAATGGTAAGTAGTCTTCGTCAACCGCCTTCCCTTAGTTTTCATTAGCGCTACTTCTTACCTGTAAATGGTGCAATTGCTGATTCGGAGGCAGTGACTACAACTACGAGCCCCAGAGTGATGGCAGCTGTGCTCTTGTTCAAGGACTCGCTCCTCCTGATACCATGGCTGTATGCAGAGAAGACCCTGATGCATATGAATACTGGGAACCCTCAGGATATCGGCGTCTCCCTCAATCAACGTGTCAGGGTGGACGTGAAATGGATCATATTGTTTCCAAGCCTTGCCCCAACAGAGAGGAAGAGTACAAGAAGAAGCATGGGATTAGCGGGGTTGGTCTATTCTTCGCGATCGTCATCCCTATTGCTGTAGCAAGCGCTGTCGGTTATTATGGCTATACTAGGTGGGACGGCAAGTTTGGCCAGATTCGGCTCGGGGAGAATGTTGGTACCTCCCAGGGTCTGCTTTCGCGAGATTCTCTTCTCATCACCGTCCCGGTTGCCATAATTGCGGGTGCGGTGGCCGTCATCAAGGCGCTCCCACTGTTAGCCACAAGTCTTTGGCGAAGCGCGAGTGGATATGTGCGCCTAGGACGCAACCGGGGTTACTCAAGGCCTTATGCGTCTCGCGGATCATTTGCCGCCAGGCGCGGCGACTATACTGGTGTTGTTGACGACGAGGATGAGCTTCTTGGCGTGGAAGATCTCGAAGCGGATGAAGAGGAAGAGCTGTAATAATAAGCTCTTCCTGACATCTGTCCGTCAACCGTGTCGGGTCCATGAGGTTATGTTTTATTATGAGAACGTCATGTATTGAAATGTGTCTCCATGTGCGCATTTTTCGCGTCCCCCGTCTTTATCTTTCTTATTCTAATCGCCTATATAATGTGCGTGCCATAGAGGTGAAGTAGAATCAGTGCTAATGGGTATCTTGCAATTTTTTTCTGGAGTTTACGAAGTCATACCAATTCGGGAACTGCCCAAACAACTCGAGCCATAACATTTTAGACGTAGCATGACATGATAATCTACGGAGACAGCTTTATCCCATAAGCCGTGCAGGGACTTCGTTTAGCTTGCATGTCATGGTACAAACTGAGACATCGACCCCTCAAAGAAGTAAGAGTTTAACCTGGATATTCTTGCTTGCCCTCATATGAGAGGTGCTGATTACGACGACTCTCTAATTAGAAGGCGATTGTATATGATGGAAGCCTGAATAGCCCCTTCGATTCATATGAGCATATTATTTTACCTTGTCCTGCGCGTACGTTTGCGTCAAAAGAGCAGCACCGTACATTTTGGATGCTCAATCATAACATAAGGAGAGCGTAGCTCAGCATCATAATCATCATCTGTCTCTCCCAGGGACCAACTACCCTGGGTAGTTCAACCACCAACCACAAACACCCTTTCCCGCGGTGACTTCCAACGAATGCACCGAGCACAGTAGCGCCGACAGGCAACAGCAACAACAACAAACAGGACTTGGAAAGAAAGAATGAATCACCCACCCGCTTACACATGCCAGTCACCCTGCTTTACTCCACAATAGCAACCAATGGGTAATTAAGCAAATCAAACATAGTGACATGATGCAATGCTCAATGAGTGAAATCACTCGGGCCAAACGAGTTCGGCAGGAGCTGCAATACGAGCAAAACCAGTTGTCAGCCACTGATTCAGAACAGAATGGATGGATTGGTCAGATATATTACCTCTCCCATTGTAGTAAGAGTATAATTACCCTCACCGTCGTACATAAAAATGGGGAATTCGGGGGTGGTAAATTCGCTCATACTGAGAGACACGAATCATTGTTAGTTAGCAAGTAAGTACGTACGTTCGTAACTTGTTGTTGTCGCATTATTGTGATGAGGGAATTATAGAACTCCCCGGGTAGCCAATCATTTCAGTTTGCTTGCCTTCTTTTTTTCGCGCAAGCTATTTGCGGGTACAGCACGAAAAATCGGAAAACTAGGCGCCAGGGGATAGAGAGACAGAGAGAGACAAGAGAGGGTACGTACAACTGTCTACACATGCCGCATGGCGAAGCGGGAGGTTTGATGTCACTTGCGACAGCAATGGCTTTGAAGTTGCGATGCCCGGCCACCTGCAAAGCAGTCCGACGAAGTAAGCAAAAATGCATGAGTGATTTTCTTCAGTTCATTTTCGACATGTGCAAGGTACAGCAAGTAGACACGGAGATAAAATTGAAAAAAGAAAAAGAGGTGTAGAGTTGACAGCTTACAATGGCATTTCCAAACGCTACTCGCTCCGCACAAGTTCCAACGGGATAAGAGGCATTTTCAACATTGGCGCCTTGGACGAATTCACCCGACTCGGTCAGAATGCATGCGCCAACACGGAACTTTGAGTAGGGACCTGTTGGTGTCGCATTAGTTAATTCTAGATATATGCCATGGCAGCTTTTGGGTTAGGGGAAGACAGGTGGACTTACAGTATGCGGTGTCCTTGGCGGCGATGGCCTTGGTGGAGAGCGTTTCGAGCTCTTGGGCAGAGAGGTGGTCGGCAGCGTGGACCATGTTTTCTCCTTGTCTAGCTGGATGGCTGGATGGGTCTATTCCCAAGAATGAAAAGTCAAATGAAGTTGACAGGTGGCGGGTAGATAGATATACGGATGGATGTAGTAGTAGTAGTTACTGCGCGGGGAAGAGGTCATCTGCACCGGAAGAAACGCCCGTTGTGGTTGTTGTTCATGATTCCACAACCCCTCTCTTATCGCAAAGATTGACTTGTCTCAGTGTGACTCACGATAATGTTGATAACACGGATAACCAAGAATTATCTATATTAAATCTTCAATTTTTATCTAATCTAGATGCTTTTCTGTAACCTCGGCTGCCAGTGTTTCAAGGGTGTATCGACTCCCACCCGATGTTATCCATGATGTCATCACTAAAGTAATCGCCAATTGCCTTTTCGGGATCCCCGCACACACGTCTATATCAACAATGAAATAGAGTAAAAAAAACATCAAAACAAGATGAAAATATATAAGATTCATAAGCATGAAATAATCATGGACAGTAAACAAAAAGAATATTGTAAATAGATCAACACTCCATTTTCTTCTTCGCACCAATACCAGATTGATGGTCTCAAAAGAAGATGTTGGAATCTAACTCGGAACATGACTGTAGGTATCATACGAAAGCGCCTCAACCGGAAAGTGTATAAACAAGAAGCATCCGACGAACGTCGGGAAGCGAGAGAGTAAAAAGATATAGGGCAAGAGTTGGAGAAGAAAAGAGAATGTGGGGTAGAAGGAAGCTGAGAATTAGGCAAAATGATTCCGTAGTCCCTCATAGACGGTGAAGATGAAGGCGGAGCTGGGGGCAGATCGAGCGCAGGTGATGCCACAGCCTCGGTACAGAGCCCTTAGTCCTTGCTGTCTCCACAAGGCTTTTGCAACTCCCCAGAATGTCTGTCGTTTGCCGTTGTACGCTCCTCGCGTAACATCCTCTGTTTGCATGCGCGATTTGATCGTATCGGCAGGATAGAAGAGAAAATTGTAGCTCACGCCTGCTGCAGCACCTGCAATCATCTTCTGGTAGATAGGAATGGAATCAGAAGATGTTCCATCTTCCTTGAGCTCTGCAGATGGGGCACGGTATGCGCGGAACAGTGCAGACACCCCCTCATAGCCACCGAACCATGCAGCGCCGCCACCAGTCTCGCGAATAAGTGTTCCCAACTGTCCGCGCCAAAAGCCAAGGAGACCGTCTTGACGGAAGACAGTGGCTATCAGAGTCAATGGACCAGGGGGGGTTCCGCCAGACGCCGTAACGGGGACTTGCATCTTGCACTTGATAAGCTCAACCGGGGTAAGTGCAAGGGAGGTAATAGATCCTGACGCAGCGCCGCTGAACACCAGTGCCGAGAAAGGGAGGTCATCGGCAGAGGAGTAGACAGTGGCCTTCAATATATCTTGGATCAGACGGTAGCTGAAGAACAAGCAGCTGTTCTCAATGGCAGCACCTGCCATGGGAGCGCTAATGCCCCGGTAGAGCCCACGTAGGCCATCTGCTTGGAAGGATTGACGGAAGCAATCCAAGGGGCCTTTGTATCTGAGAGGAAGATGATCCGGTTGAGATTGGAGCCGCACTTTGACTGTATCAAAAGGGTACTCGATCACTTTGCCTGCCATTCCTGCAGCCTAGTGGGGTCAAACGTCAGTATCATGTTCACGTCCACAAGGGCTGGGCACGACGGTTAATAACTTACCGACCCAAACACGATATCTTTAAAGGCCTCAAGGCCCTGGTTGGGCGGAAGTGTAGGCAACTCCATTGAAATATCATCATTGATTGCTATCGCATGTTCGGCGGCCGCCATCAGGGAAAAGGTTGAATGAGCAGTCGAGCTCGGGTTATACGACAGGACTTGGACGGGTGTATGCAAGGAGAGAGACACAGTGGGGGGTAAAGGGATAGACGAGTCTTATCGAGAGAGCATTGTAGTTTCGCGAGCTGTTCGAGGGAGAGAACGGTCTAAAGGGTATTTAAAGACTTTCAGAGTGATGGGGCGGTGTGGTGACTCGACGAGGGGTTTTGCTTGGAGGTGTGCCCGAACCACGCGCGATAAATTAAGAGAGAGCGAACATCGCTTGCCAGTAAAACGGAACACGAGCCCAAAAGGCCAAGGGGGCAGGGGAAATCGGGATATGAGCGATGGGTGGGGTGGGTAGACCTCGCGGCGGTTGGCTGATTGCGGCGAGTGCTGCAACTAGTTGAGTGTGATCCGTCAGACTTCTCGCCGACAAATCCCTCAATTCCATGCCAGACGGGGCCCGGCGCACCACTTCTGCCGAGATCCGGTTATCTGATCGGTCTAAGATAACTTTTTCCTCAAAACTCGGAGGCCCCGAAAAAAAAAAGAGGGCAGCGGAGAGCTAAGAGAATTCCATCATCATCCCGTCTGGAATCTCTCTTTTCTTTTACTCTTCTTTCACATCCCAACACAACCCCCCCTCCTTTTTGGTCGATCGGCTCGTTTGGCTCTGCCTACTCTCGGTCCGATCATGTCTTCCGCACCTTCAGCTGCTGCCCCCATTAAGGGCATGCGGAAAAATGGTATGAAATTAGCTACCCCACTTTTTTTTTCCCTGGCCTTCGAAAATAACTGTTGCTAATGCCTTTCGCTTCTCGGACCCGCAGGAAAAAACTGGCATGATACCAAGAAGCCGTTCCGCCCTACTTCGGGCATGACCTCCTACGCTAAGCGACTGGAAGCACGCAAGCACCATGAAGCCGTGAAGGAACACGAGAAAGAGTTGAAGGAAGAAAAGGAGGCAGAGAGACAGGTGGGATCCAGCCTATGACATGTCTTACAAAAGAGATTGTTAATCTTGCTGACAATTACCTAGGCGCATATCCAAAGAATCAAGGATCGTCGAGCCGCTAAGGAGGAGAAAGAACGTTATGAGAAGATGGCCGAGAAAATGCACCGCAAGCGAGTCGAGCGCCTGAAGCGCCGCGAAAAGCGCAACAAGTTGCTGAACTCTTGATTGCCGTCGGCTCTGGTCCTTCTTCCCTTCTTTATTCTCCCAGCTTCATTTCTTTTTCTACCGTTTCTTATTTCGTCTTGTCTGTTGATCACTAACCCGTCTACATCTCGTTCGAGTGGTGGCTGATGTACCCCCACGCCGTAAACTTTCTGTATCATTCACCTTCACACCATGTTTCCTTTCTTGCCGGGTTTGGGAATTACGGCCGATTGATGGCTACTGTTTCATGACAAGTGGAGTTCGCTGGCGACCGTGGAGTTAGAAACCAACCTTTCAGAATAGTATATACTACAATGGATACACCGAACTATCTACATGGTTCCTGACCTATCCATGACAACACATCACAATAATGTACAGAAAAGCTGTGTTACTTTACACGTCAAAGAAAAAGCGCAGACTGTTTTTACTTTCATACATCAGAATGCTCGGAGTAGTCAAATCCCAATGGAAGTAAGTATATATTCCGAGTCCTGCTGATCCTTTGCGGGATCAGGGGCCGATACCTTCGATCGGCCAGCGCATGGATCAGCGCTTGGCATCACGTTCAACCACGTTGTGTTTCACCTCTGCTAGCGAGTCGTACGACCGATGGAAAAACATCTTCAGAAACCGACCGCCCAGGTTGACCAACGCGTTGAGCAGTGTTATCCGGGTCAGGGCGTGCTAAGGAAAGTGGAGAGGGTTCACTTGACCTGGATCCTTCCTGCCCGCCATGGTTTCCCAACCGTCCAAACAGCTGTCCGCGTCTTACCCACCGGCCCATGGCTCTGGAGCCGCCGGAAGCCAGAAACCAGCACCACCACCACCCAGCTTGCAGCCCTCCAGTGCCACCAGCGACTATAGCGGAAGTCTTCAACTCGGCCAGAATCACCATGGTCGCGAAGTATCTCAACCTCCCGGTCTGACTGGCGAGAAGCATCACCACCAACTTCTAACCTTCGACGCTCCCCGTCCAGATCGCGTTAAGTCTAAATCCCGTTCGAAGCACAAGCACAAGCACAGTAAATCCGGCGACTTTCGGTTTCCCCGAAGAATGAACAACCTCGCCTCGTCCGCTGGTTCTCGAGGTCTTCTGCCAACATGGTCTGGTAGCAAGGAAAAGGATAACGATACCGACGATGGTTTGCTTAGACCCATAACGCAGGAGACAACCTGGTCGCGCTGGAGCTCGGATTCCACCGCAGCCTTGGGTAGTGGGAGCCGAAAGGGCAGTTTACTTGATGTCATTGACCCGAGCAACAAACTTGGTCCCATCAGGCGTCAAGAGATACGTTCGATGGAAGACCTGGAGCAAGTAAAGAGTAAGAGAAAACAAGGGGAGGAGTAAGTCGATTGTTGTCCGTTCGCATATGGGATGGTTTTGACTGGTTTGATGATAGATATTTACGGTCTGCCCTGTCAATGATCGGGACCCTTGCAACGGATATCACCCGTAGACTGGATTATACGTACTACAACCTTCTGGAGAAGATTGCCGCATTGAATTCGACCATCGCATCATTCCAGGAGCTTTCTAGTTCTACTTCTGCCCTTTTTGACGACTTCCAGCGGGAGACATCGGGCTTGGATAAGGAAATCCGGAAACAGATGGGGGAATTGAAAGAGTTTCAACCCCAATTAGAGAGGATTAAGACATTGGAAGATCGCATGAAGACGGGGCGACAGAGGGCCGAGGGGCTTAACAGTCGACTCGAGGCAATGCGCCATGAAATTGATCGTTGGGACAAGAAAGAACTAGAATGGCAGTCACGAGTTAATCGGCGCCTTCGGATCTTCTGGACTGTGGTGGTAGCTGGCGTGCTCGCAGTTCTTCTCGCTGTTGCGATACAAAATTGGCCGACTACGACGAGTCCAGACCCTTCTGGATTACCTTCGCAAGCATTGTTTCTAACAAACTCGTCGCATGCTCTACCACCAGAGAATGGCCATGAAGCAGTCTCAGATAGCCCGAGGGAAGCATGGCCGCGATCTCTGCGGAATCTCCCTTCTCGTCATCATACTCGTCCCTCTGGGGGATCAGTTCCCGTCGTAGCCACGGCTACTAGAGATGATACTAATGTCAGGACTACTCATCCAGACCCACTGACAATATTTGATGAGCTATGAGCGCGCTGGATCTTTCTATTTCCGAGACTCAGGACAACTTTCAAGGCCAGCCTCGAGACTGTCATATCTCCGTTGGTCTAATATGTAAACCATAAATAATGTCATGATACCCATAGTGTCCCCCCAGCATAGCATTTTTGTACATTATGCATTCATAGGCCCGTCAACTACACCTCAGGGCGCTTCGGCCGCCTTCTTCTTCTTCTTATCCTCGATGAGCTCGATATTGGCCTCCGGGATCTCCTTCCCGTACACCTCGAGCAGCCATTCCTTAACATCCTCACTCACATCACCCTGCACGGTAATCTCCTCAGTACCACCCGCAGACCTAGTCATCGAAGAGCCAGTAGCAAACTTCTTGCCCAGGTCCTTGGCGATCTTCTTATTCTCCAACCCATATATATCCAAGCCCGTGATAACGGTCACATGTTTCCGCTTGTTCCGCTCAACCCGCTTAATCTGTACCTTGGACGCCGCCTTCCGCTCAGCATCGCGCGCCTCAGCCGCAGCAGCCTTGGCCTCCTTCTTCGCCGCATCCTTAGCTGCGCGCTCCCGAGCCGATACCGACAATGTAGCGAGGTTGGAGTTGAGGGCTTCTGCATAGCACAAATAGGTCGCAAGTTAGCGACTGATCTCAAAGACCCGGGAGGTGGGCGAAGGGGGGAGTAGAAAAAAATTAACGAACCCTCAGAATATAACGACTGGTACATGTCCGGATGGGCTTCCTTCAACCAGTCCTCGCATTTCTTGGCCGTGCCGCCGAATTCACAGTACTAATCGATTTCGAAATTAATGTTAGCTGGCTGCCCCACACGACCTTTTGGGTGGTATAGATAATATAATGCTGGAACGAGCAGAGGTGGGGGAGAGAGGGGGAGGGGGGGGGGGTTATTCTCGAAGATGAAGACGGGAAGCTTGGGTTCGAATGCATGGGGTGTGTCTATGTATGCGTACCTCCGGAGGCAATGTGCAAACTATCCATAGTAGAAGATTCAGTTAGCTATTAGATATTCTCTCTTGAAAACATCACTACCAAAGCGATAGCAGAGACCAAAGAAGAGAGACGACTTACCTCCACAGTAAACAACATGCTTAGCCTGCGATTCAGCAGGAGCCGATTGGGCGACTTCGGCCATTGTAATATATCCAGGGATATAAAAATAGACGTATAGAGGTATGAGGGGTAGAGATTCAAGATATTATGGATTCGATATATCTGGACACAAAATCTCGTTCGCGCGGTATTAGGTAGGCCCCTCCCGCCGCCGCTGTCGACCGCCCTCTGAATGAGCGCGGGGTCGGGTCTGGATGTACGTATTTCCCGCTGGGTTGCGGTTTGGTTTTGGAAGCTAGGCTGTTTTGGGTAGATACCTATCTATGTTATCTGTCTGTCATGTGATTTATGCTATGTTCATATCGTATGAAGAAGGCTTAGGTTTGGTTTTGTTGTGTGGGTTATTGAATAGGGTTGAATATAGGAGGATGTGATTATTGCTTCTGTTTATTTGGGAGCAGACTACTATACTAATTTGCTGGGCTGGCGGGATCCTGGTATGTTATGCCTCGTATTGGAAGACTGAAGCTGGTTATGATGCATTATTCTCTGGCTAGAATCTTCTGTTATTGTCTAATGTGATGTCTGTATGAGGACTGGACTCATTTGAATGCTTTTGGATGGTTCGGTTGGTAGGCTATTCTTTAGATATTTCAGTTCACGCGCTGTAGCAGAGGGGGGAGGAGGGTACGTGTACGCTGATATCGTAAGTGAGTACCTCCTGGGCTTGCTTTTGTTAGGCCAGTCTAGAAGCTGCAGTCAGTTGAACCTGGCATTTTTTGCATGATGTTTTGCCACACGGGTTGAAGTTGTCCATCCCGTCAACTCTATCGTGCACCAACTCGGTATGAATTGGGAACTGACAGTGGCGATCAAGAGCCGTCAAGCAAACATGCCCCCTGTCATGACGCTCGATGTTAACGCCACTGAAGTGGCGCTGCATGCAACCTTTGAGCAGTCGAAAACATGATAGACCTTCGAGAACGACACATTTCAGCCTTCGGGCATGCGGCATCTAATTCCACTGTACTCAAATGTAAGAGGCAAACAATGTGTATTGGGAAGAATCGAAGGCAAAGCAAAGCATTGTTAACGCACACGCATGCAGATAACAAAGCAGGGACTGGATCTGAAGACATGCTTCATGTCTGGACGACGATTGGTGATCGAAGAGCTCCGTGAGGCCGGACTGGCCAGCATAGTTTATGCATGAGTGACTTGGCATGGCCACATTCCGTCAATTGTTGGAATGGAAGATTAGAGTGGCTGATTTTGCCGCGTTTCATACTGCGGGCCTGCAGAGGCCAGGTCTCGAAAGGCAATTCAGTCAAGCAAGTTGTGAGCGAACCGGTAGTGGCGTTTACCATTTTTTTTTCCCGCGTCAAGCATATTGTAATATGACGAGCGTGTGATTGCAGACGCCACCTCACGTATCATTCCATCATGCCAGCTTAAGATAATTAAGTGAAGGAGTGAGGAGCAGAGAAGCAATGTATGCCAAACCGAAACAAAAGGTATGGCGTATTAATGCCCTGGTGAGAAGCAGCGTCGAAGGCTGACCGGCGTGACAGTCGACATACAGTGCGCCATAGCTATGATGCTCGCACACCAAGCGAATGCTAGCGGGCAAGAAATTTACTTGCCTGATACTAAGACTAATGCTCCGTTGCTCCTCGTTCTAGACCACCGAGATGCCGCAGAGATTCAAACCTAAACCTAACAGTCGCTAGCGTATTTGGTTATCCAGCAGGATGGCAATCCGCGCGAGCAAAGTCACTTCGTCCGTAGCTAGACGCTGTCTCTCCGACTTAGCGAAGAACTAGTGAGGTTTGCGCAGGGCCAGATAGATCAGACCGTCTGTCAAGTAATGAGCTAACGGGCCCAATCGGTTTGGCACTCTGCCCCTCATATCCTCTTCCAATGAGCAGTTGCGGCCAATCCAGTAGCCTCGGAGCCCACGAAAGGGCCCGACGGTCATACCAGGGCCATACGGGTGCACGGGCACCGGCTGTTTTCAAGACACGTCAGTGAAATTGCCTCGTCGCTAATTCCATCGGCGCCTTCACGGAGCAGGTATATCGCTTCGGTTACGCCAGTCTCGCGTCCGAGAAACTCCCGGGGCAGCGCACCCGACGAGCTAAATGCCACGTTGAAATAATTTCTGCTGTAAAGCTGCCAATACGTGTGAGAACAAAAGAAAGCGAAAGCATACGGGAAGCAGACCTGGGGGGATAGTGTATGGGACCCCGCGTTTGAAAGCGGGCTAGAATGATCGACGGCGGCCTGGCCTGAACGTATCTCTCCGGTTGGTGTTGGATAGTCGGGGTTGTCCGTGGCTCCTCCTGTGAGTATTGGCCTAAATATAGCTGTTCTGATAGGCCCTGATAGGCGATTTAATCCCTCCAGTTCGGTTCCCTGGGTCCAAACCAATCTCGATCATCTAGATTGGGCCTGTCAGCTCTTTAGGTTCTCAAGCGACGTAAGTGTTGATAAGGGGAAGATGGAACCCAGAGGTCCATGATGAGTAGGACAAGGATGTCTAGCCAATCGTAACGGACGTAGATGATGGCATGCGGACAACGAGGGACGGTCTATGCAGTAGTACCTAGGGGGTCCAACATGTCCCATATGCAAGCGTGGCTGATTGTTGCTTGATCGCTGAGTACCGCATGCGGCGGTTGACCGAAGAGAAACGTCAAAATACCCCTCGTGGGAAGGTCCTTGCGCTCACGACGTACGTACCACAATCTGCTATCCTAGCCATCAGTTGTCTGACATGCATCGAGCCGCCTTACGGGTTTCTTTTGACGCCAATCTTAATTACAAGATTGTTTCGCCCCCACTTGATTTTGAGAGATGAGGGGCTGTTCGCTTGCACGTTCGACCACGCCACAGGAGAGATGTGCAGATAGGAACGGACATGGCTGGGACGCTAGTCAGAAGGAGGCTGCGGACGAGTGTCTGGAAACAAGACGGTAGCTAGTCTTGTAGATATTCCTAGTGCACATTTGAGTGTCCGGAAACGGGCACTAAGGGCGGATCAACGGACCCAAGTCCTGAGAGGTTGACGCGAGAAAGGAAGTACTTTGGCCATCCAATGAGTTAGTTAGCTCTGGCGTTTTGTCAGTCAGCATTCAGCGACATTTAGATCGAAGCTTCTCGTGGCCCTGATAAGCAAGCCAATTGAAAGGAAAACCAGCATGACATCATGAATTACTAGGCTTTAGAAAACTTCCTATTCCTTCCAAATCTTATCGAGGATGGCAAGACGAAGGGAACGAAGACATAGATTGCCCAAGACAAAACCCGTATAGTAGCAATAGCTCCGGTGAACGTTTCTGCTAGACGCTCGGATCCACGTGCTCCGCCGCAGACAGGAGAGACCTGCGTGCTTAGTGTTTTGTCCAGCCCTCACTCTAACTAGCACCCTAGCTATCTACCTAGTTTAGTCTAGTCAAGTCTGTGTCCTACTATGCTTCGAGAGAGCAAACATACATGTGACAGGAGTGACCTAACGGACTGGGCTTAACGTGTCAAGGTGGTTAGCAAGAGCATCCACTTTGTCCTCTAGAGATATAGTGGCACTGGTCGGACAGTGGTAGTACAGGGCACTAACTTGAAACTGGAAATTGAACTATACTTTGGAGAACAAACATTGCTGTCAGCGTGGTAGGTGCGCAGTGCTCGTTCAAAGCGTATGCAAAGCAACCGCACCAAAACATCCGTGCATCCCGTTAAGACAATGGAAGAAGGTAGTAATCGGCAAGATGACACGACTATCCGGAAGCTTCCAGCATCCCGTGTTATCCCGAGACTACGTACTTGTCGGCTGGGAACTTGGACATGTTACCTCCCGGAGGGCAGCCACGGGGCACTCCTCAATTTGCAAATTAAAGCAGTATACATTTGTATAATTGTAGTCAAGTGAAAGAGGAGACACAGCTAAAGGCTGGCTTCTACTGTGAAGATTATGATTAGTAGATAAATAGTAGATACAGTTCTGGGTGGATCGGTCATTCATCGGGAAGAGAAGGGGGAAATGGATCTTCTCCTGCTTTGCGGGTGCCCCGGAATGAACGAAGCAACGGTCGCGCATTGGCTTGCCGAGAATCTGGGATCTGGACTTCAACAGACCGTGCGGAGGTTTCCCCAGAAATCCAAACAGGCAGGAGGAGTGACCGACAAACTCTCGGGTTCTTTGTTCTGCTTCACCTTATCAATATCACATCATTCTCTCTCCCAAGGGATACTGCGGGAATGAAAAGCCGGTGGGTCTGATACTCGACGCATTCGTGGAGGAAACAAACTGAATCCCTAACTACTCTGCTCCGTGTTTCTGGCCTGGGAATGAGATTATGATGATGTTCACGCTAGCTGCCATGCCCCCGTCTAGTCTAGTTTAGTGACTGGGTAAGGCCATTGATCTGTCATCTCGGGCCATGGGGAGGTAGCAGTTAGTAAGTAATTTATCGCACGTCCCTCCCGCACAGCTCCAAACCGGATGTTAGGAAGAGACCTCACTACAGTGCATAATTAGCGCGTCTTGGGGGTTTCGGAGTCCTTCTAGACTCCGGTCGCAGTACGTAAAGTCCGTCGATGATTGGTATGCGGCTAAGGTAGAGATCGGAGGCTTTGTCTAGGATACATAGCTCGGTCCCTGATAGCCAGGTAGTAATTTAGCTAGCTAGGCAGCTCAGTATGGATATATAGTAGATAATACGAGGGAGACTGTACTATGGACGACAGGTAAAGGACATTGCTTCATGAGGCTGGCTCTGGATCGTCGATGTTCGGGTGTCAAGACTGGTCTAACCCCACCTCAAGGAGGGCCAATGGCGGGCTGCGAAATGCTTAATGTGACCCACACTCATGCACCACGAGAGTTACACCATTCCAGTGCCGACCAATCAGCAATGAGCCAGAATACATGCACTAGACAGGAAAGAGTAAAAGTTGCTGGAGACTAGACCGACATGTCTTAGCGCAACTGCTTCGTCCCCACCCGGCCGGTTTTCCATTCGAGGTACCGTCGTCATGATTCACTTTGCGAGCATTTGGTTCTTTGGTGGCAAACAAGATCGAAAAAAGCACCGGACAGATTCTTCTGTGCTGGTTCAACCTTGTTTGATGCCCTCCTTGGGAGGTACCCGTTCCTAGGTACTGTGCACTGCTTGATACGAAGGAGAGGGGGGGAAGAGGGGGGTTGGAAATATCCTCGTACTTCTTTCTTAACCCACGCGTACGTCAATCGTAATCAATTCTCCAACAAATCCTCCTTCCGCCAAGCCATCGACGCGGTACCCTGCGTCTCTGATCCTTCTCGTTGGTTTATCTACCAAACCTCACTTGATCCGCGCGACATCAACGCTACCTCCCCCCTTCGCCCCCCTACCATCGGGTATCTAGACTCTTTAGATCCTGGTCTAGTACCTAGGAAGAATTAAGAGTTTTTCTTTTTATCAAAACGAAAATTGAAAGATAAAAATAATAATAATACCAAAGAAAAAGAAGAATCAACGGTCGAACCCCCCGTGCATTATCGCATCTCCACTCGCCACTATCACTAAACTCGCACTCGCAAAAGAAGAGAGAGAGAGAGACAGGTATTTCCGGTTTCCCGCCGCTTCCCGTCAACGTTACTTTACGACTCTTGCCTTTCACCCTGCGACTTTCATACACACGCTGGTTTATTCCCGACCTTTCATCTTAATCTAGCTTCGACCCCATCCAAGTTTCCGATCCTTTCGTGCGACCGAGCAAAAGGCCTTCTCCACCCCCCTCCGAGGGGCTTGTTTGGAGCCGTTAATAACTCTCGGATATCACTCACTCCCTGACACCTTGATGGCTCCTCAAGATACATCTCACTAGCTCTCTCGCCCTATAACATCTCCGAGGCGCCTTAGCTGCCCCTTCATATATGCTGCCAATCAAGATCAAATCCTACTCTGGCCTACCCCATACTGTACCATGATCTCAGCACTTTGTCGCCATTCCTAGATAGCGGGTCTTTCCTCGACGCCTCTCGCGCCTTTCCATTGGAGACCGAACATTCTATCTGAATCAATTGTTCCACCTTTTTTGCTTCAACTCCAGCCCTTGCAACGGCCATCCCATTCACAGACTGCCTTTATGTACCTGATTGAGCTGCTAGGATGACGGCCATACTTTCCGCCTCGAACGAGGGGCGATCACGCTTCTCTCCGGACCCTTTGCGAAGTCCAATCGCCCAAACCTACTTCCTCGAAGAGCCCAATGTCGCCACAGCCAAATTTAATCTGCCCGCATATCATCGCAAGGATCGTTCTGATGCTGTGGTGTCCTCCCCGCCGCGGTCAGCGTCTCCATCCCCGGATTTCACTATTACAGCTGTGGAGAATCTCCCTCCCACGCCTGCGACTCTGAGCAGTCTATCTCTTATGAGTGAGGGCCATGATGATGACGAGTTGGTCCTGCCGTCGTACGATTCCAGCCAATTCGCCCAGAAGGAGCCTGAAGCCCTCAGTGATGTGTCTGTGGACTCCTCGGCGGACTTCCCACGCCTGACGCAGGCACCGGCTGCTGATGATAGTACAATTGAGGATGAGCCATCGAGGCACGTGGATTATCTATCTCATGAATGGAGACAGGAGGATATTTGGGCGTCGTGGCGTTACGTCGTCGCCCGGAGGAACATATATGAAAATGGGACAAGGCTAGAGAATGCCTCGTGGAGGACGTGGGCCAAGCTGAAACTCAATCTGGGTACAGTATCGCCAGAAGCCCTCAACTGGTCAGTTCTTGGACAGAGTCCCTTAGGCTTTGGCTCTTTGCTAACACTCCCAATAGGCTGAAGGACTGCGATGTGACGTGGTTGTACGGACCCTTAAAGACGTGCAACAAGCGGGAGAAAGCCTTCAATGGCTCTCCTCCTCCCAGCCGCTTGGAGACACCGACCTTGTACCCGGATAGGAAACCAATATTGAAGAAGAGAACGGCTTCTGAGACTATCTTGCAGCGTTCTCTGTCCCAGCACACGCTCTTGCAACATGCGGGAGCCATTTTGAAAGCACAGGAGGCCGAGATCAACCGTAACCGTCCCCCATTACAGAGGGTCTCCTCGGAGTTTGGACATATGCTTAGCAAGTCGTCCACCACTCCCGTGGGGGGTACTGCTAAGGGTACCGCCACCAATACGTCAACGTCGGCCACCCCTAGCGAACGACGGCATATTCACTTCAACAACGAGGTGGTGCAATGTATTGCTGTTGAGGCGAAAGAGGAAGACGATGGATGGCCTGCTCATTTCGGGGATGAGTCATCAGAGGATGGTATCGTCATGATGAAACACATTCATTCTGACTCGTCGCTCAGCGACAAAGGTACGCCTCGTGGTAGCGTTACTGGTGAAAACAAAACCATTGCCCCGCTTCCTTCTACCACACTCAAGTACCGGTGGGATGCTTCGGACCATGCGGATGATCTGCCAGATTGCCGAGGGGATGCCTGTGGGAACGGACAAACCACATCAGATTCACCAGCATCTTCAATGATGGGTCGGTGGTCCAGCTACTTCTTGAATTCTACGTCGCCTACTTCGTCTGGAGCCGAGAAGTCGACGCGGAAAAACGCACGATCTGGCAGGAATAACACGCCATCTGCTAATTTCCTTCTCGACGAAGAAGAGAATGATGTGGAATTCGACTGGGAGCCAAGCCGCAACTCATATGGCCTAGGAAGTCTAAGCCGTCCCTGGTTTGTGAATCCAGAAGATGACGAGGAGCTCGATTACTACTTCCATTCGATGTCTCCGGGAGGAACGACACCCAACGAAGACGACGAACCATTGAGTGCAAGCATTTTTGACCGTGTAGCAGACACCGTAAACACAGCCAAGGACATTGCACATGTGATATGGAACGTCGGCTGGAGGCGGTGATTCCCTCTCCGTGGAGCATCCACAAGGTCGCAGAGCGGGCTTTACGACTTAATGCACTTGATTTCCTAGCCATCAATTTCTCATGCATCTTTCTCATACAATAAACAACCAGGAAGACGGGTTGCGGCGTTCTGAGCTTTCATCAATTAATGTTGCTGGCTGCTGGTCGACGATAAAAGGGGTTAAGGAGGGATTTTTCTATTTTCTCTTCCCATCTTCCGTGGGGCTGTATGTGCCTGGAGGAAACCGGAATTTCCGGATCATGTTTTGGCGTAGTTCATGTTTGGTTTTGGGTTCTGCCTGGGGGCGTTTCTCGATGGGCTGGCTGTCATGACGGCTTTAATTTCCTGCATCTTATTTTTCTTTTTACCCCCAGATATCACCACGCGAGGTAGCATTGACTTCTTATGACCCAATGAGACATATGATGATCCAACATACAGCAGATGAAATTTCATTATAGTAGTGTACAACTTGTTACACCCCAGAATATCCTTCCATACATCTTGGACTATCACATTTCTCAAACAACTCCCTTTAGTAGTTCCGCCAACAAACACCAAATATGCTACCCCAACCTTAAAAACCATAGCTACCTACCAGCTCATGCTCACGCAGCACACAGGTACCAGTTTCACCACCGTTGCTACCAAACAAAGACTGGTGCCTACTTACCAACCTGCACCCCCATCGAAGACACCAACTTATAGACACAACTCTCAGACTACCATATTCGAGCAATAAAGGTATAAAATATGCATATGAACAGAAAAAACAAAAAAGAGTAGTGATCACACCTGATCAACTACTTTACTAAAGTAGTTCGTCTCCGTGAAAATCAGGTACTTCTTTTCCGTCTCTAGGAAAAAAAACTTGAAGCTTGTGAGCCTATAGAAAGCAAGGCACTTTTTGCAAGCAACGTCATTTGGAAATGAACAACACCAGTTACCAAGTACCAATCGGAAGAGAGATGAAAGAAGGCACACAGGTTTACTGTGTAGTAATTTGCGTGGAAGGTGGGGGTGGGGGCTGGTAAGATAGGAGAGAAATGCGGGCATAAACCTGCGGAATTTGGACTAGAAGATGGAATGAGAGCAAGGATTGAATCATGGAAAGAGGTAATTAGTCAACTAATAATGTATGTACTTTTGTAGAATGAGACAAGTGGGTTGGCTGGGTCGCGGTGGATTGATTAATAGCAGGAGGTGCTATAAGGGAATAAGCATCGGTGCCTAATCGTTGGTGGGGATTAGTGCATACTACCAAGGAAGCTACTTTGCTACTTTTCTACTACGGAGTAGCTACTAGATATCTACTAGGCACGGATGCAAGGAAGACCGTGCTTTTTAGTTTAGACAAAGCGGGTCTCAAGCCGGATCACGTCGTGCTCAATGTTACGTCAGGACGGCTAGAAGTGGGCTGGCTGGCTGGCTGGCTCAACTCGGAGGTTGAGCGTATTCAGGGGTGGTGGAGAATGTTGAATGATGGTTGAATGAGACCATTTTATTGTAAACGTGGGCTCACGAGCCACAGACCCTCGATATCAGGGTTTGCGACGATGTATATGCATGCACCAATAGCAATAACCAACTCCTAGATACCTAAAATCCTAACTCCCTGTTGCATTCGAGGTTTTCTGGACTGTAACGAGGACTATCAGCATCATGATTGAGATTCGCTAGTCGACTTCGGTCTTCTTTGTAATGTGTTACTTACATTGGGTATCATCAACAAGGAACAAGAGAGATGGCAAAAAAAGGGTGATGCGTGCGTTAATAGCACCACCATCATACATAGCGGAAAACAGAGATTCGTGAAAGTTTTCCATATATATCAGAAATAGGGATAAGTCCCTATGAAGGTCCCTTCGACCTCTGCTTGGTCAAAAGCAAGATGTAAAGAAATGGAAAAACGGCCACTCAACCCTCCATCACATCTTCCGTAGTGTCACGAAACGTCTCCGGGAAAAAGCCCGGTGGCGGCCAAATGTCGGCAATCGACGGGGGATGTACCAATGGCTGAGTCCCAGCGAGTCGGTCTGGGTCATGGCAGAAAGCTTGGAATGTACTCTCGTCAATAAATCCAAAATCCTTCAGCGCAGCCTCGCGATTGTTAGCCCACTCTGTGGTGTCGAGATATGCAAGATCCTTGAAGATGGCGTCAATGTCGCCGGTTGACCCGATACGCTCTGTCGTATCCGAGCTCCTATCCCCGGAAGGTACAGAACGTTCGTGTATAACGCCCGGGCCGGTGACCGACATCATCGAACTCGACACGCCAGAGTCGGGTGTAGACGGATGGGGGCGCGGGCCCCGCGGTACTGCTGCATTCAGAGCAGCAGCAGGCTCGGACTTGTCCATGTGTGCCGTTCGCCCGTCCAAGGTTTGTTGGAAGGACACGTCCATCATGGATAGATCAGGATTTTCCACCGTGGGATCTTTTGGCGTCATGTACTGTCCGTCCACAGGGATAGTGATGCCCATAATGGCAGATGTATAATCGGAATCCCCCATTCCAGGTGCAGTCCTTCTCATGTGAGGGTTCATCGTAGGCTCGCCCATTATGTTCGGATACCCTGCCGCCGATGTTGCCATAGACCCAGGGGGTAGTGCAGTACTGGTCATACCGCTAGCCAGTCCGGGTGCTGATCCTGTCTCTGGTGGTTGATAGGATAGAGCAGGGTTTCCGGGGAGATCTTTGGAACGGTACCAGTGATCGATGGAAGCAGACAATGAGCGATACACTGGCCAAGTTGAACTAAGCTCCGTGGTTCGCTGAAGGAGCGCTTCAGTCCACCGTCCGAAAGGGAACATGTCGGATTCGATTTTATTGCGCAGAGTGAACGCTTGTTCGGCGATAGTGCGCAAAGAAAGCTCGAATATTGGCGGCAAACCGCAAACCTGAAAGTTATCAAGGTGCTGGGACACCATTGGAAGAGCTCTATAAAGGAGTTTCTTGGCTCCTTCGATAGCCGGCCGTTGAGAGCGATGCATCCCAAGCTCCTGAGGCGCAATGCGCAGATAAAGCCATAGAAGCGTAGCCACATATGTCAGGCCAAGGTAGCTCTGGTGCGGGAGCAAGGCCGAGTGTCGTTCCGGATAGATACTTTCCGGGCCAATCAAGCGACATCCAAGAGGAAGACGATCATCCCATTGCTTAAGCTCCATGACTAGTTGTTGTGCAAATAAGGGTGCGTTTGGTCCAGCCGTGGAGTCGCGAGCAATCTTATTCAGTACACCGGCTAATTCGACTAGTCGATTGAAGCAGCTTAGAGCGAGCAGCGGACCCCGTCGAGGAGGGCTCTTTCCTTGTCCAGCCCCCGTAGGTGGCAAGACATCCGACCATGAGTTCCACTCTTCCAAGCCATCTTCTTCCAACAGCCCGACCATGGTGAGATCACGAGGATGCATGCACGGTCTCCTCGACAAACGGAACGAAAGCAACGAGTCAATCACGAAACACCCAAGGAAAACCGCCTTGCCTTGCCTCAACTCGTCCGATCGTCGAACGTCCATGAAGGCTCCAAGGTCCATCGAAATGGCCATGCGAACAGCCTGGCCACTCAACAGCCAGGCAGCAGTCCAGTCCTCCAGGCCGATGTTCACCAAAGTCAGCAGCAACAGTGCCTGCACATGTCCAAGCTCGAACCGCTCCGTTTCAGAAGGAATCAAGCTTCGAGCTACCGAGTAATACTCCTTGGTTTTCGAAAGCGCTTCCAACGCCCCGTCCTGCGGGTTAACCCGAGATTGCGAAATGGTATAACTGAGCAAGGCCCACAATGCGGCGTGGTCGCCCGAACCTGGGGCCATTTTTGCGACAGATAGCGGCGCGCTTGCATACAGGTACGATGCTCGTAAGATGTTGTGTTTTGCGACGATTGGGAACCATGAGTGAGTGACTGCGAAATAGACGTCCAACAACTGCGAAGTCTGCGGGGGTAATTGTAGGGCATTCGTAGCGCTGGCGGTATACGACGTGATTCTGCTGTCTGTGGGAGCGGCCAGCCGGGGCCTTTTAGCATGGGGAGAGGTGGAAGGCTCAACAACACGCGGAGCATCATGAGCGAGAGGAGTCGAACTACGGTCGATGCGGAATCCCCATTCACGTCCGGTGCCGTCATCATGGTCTTCCCGAGAGCGCTTTCCTGAGCTCTCCGTGACTGGCTCAGAGTTAGACAGCATCTTCTCGAGCGCCCCATATAGGCGACTGGTTTTCCAAGATTCATGCAGTGTCTCTGACGCGCCATCATCCGTCCATAAGGACATGAGCTTCTGTCTCCGACCAGCTGATTCGGCGGTGGTCCCCAGTAGAGTTAGCATTGTGTCTTCGAAGCCATCGATATTGCAGATGGACAAGGCCCAGAGCTTCTCCAGGCCACGAACATAGCCCTCTGGTAACCCGCGCTTCTTTGCATGGGGATCATATGAGCAGGTCTGGCCTGAAGCCTGGCAGGCCGAACAAGCGGGACGTAGTCCATCGCACTTGTCCTAAAAGTTGGAGGTCATTGTCAGCATGGAGGGTGGGAATTAAAGACATGGTGGAGAAGTAGATAGAAACTGAAGGGGCAAGCAGATCCAGGATGTTGAGTTGAGGAAGTAGGAAAGAAGGGGAGTAGATGGCCACTTGAAACGGCCTTGGGTAGCTGAGCTGCAGCTCCGAGGCGATAACAAGCACCGAAAACGGGCAAGTACGTGACGTGACGCAAGAACGCCGCCCCGAACATTACCGAGGACAGAAATCGAAAACCACCTGCATTTCGGGGTTGAATTGCACCGATCGGGCTAAAAGGAAGAGAAAGATGGAGATGGCGAAAGGAAGGGGGAAAATCTATAAAAGAGTGGGGAGAGGAAAGAAGCAGAGAAGCCAAATGAAAACGTATTAATTAATTGATTGATTGATTCTAACTGACCTTTTTACTTCGACAGCGATCACAGGCTCTCGACACCCTCTTCCGTCGAGGGGCTTTAGAATCGGAACCCTCGTCCATGGGAGAGGGTTAATTAGAAAAGATATGGCATGTCATGAAAGCAGGAAAAAGAGAGGAAAGAAGAGAAGAAGGTAGCGAGCGAAAGGTGGTCGGGCCTCCAGAAGGGGGAAGGTAAAAAAGGCGTGACGGAAAAGGCAGTTTTCAGTTCAATTTAGTAGGGAATAATAGGAATAGGAAGTGTAAAGTTCAAGTAACCTGGGAAGGTTAATAGTGATAGGTAAGTAAGTAGTAGTAGTCGCCAGGCAAGCCGAGAAAGGGACCGCGGCGGAGGATTGGAGCAAGCCGAAAAGGTTATCCCGCAGTGCATGCCCGTCTGTTATAAAACAAGACCCTCGGGTCCCCCAGACGCAATCGGAAAAGAACTTGTCAAGAAAAGCGATGGCAAGTAGTATTACGCAAGAATCCAATGAGTCTAAAGATGGATGATAGCTACCACAGCCACCTCAGGGTCTCGCTGTTGAATCTCCTTGGTCCATCCAATCCAATATGGAGTTGTGCATCGGCCCAGACCCATCCTGAGGCAACCAAGTTTAGAAAGGGATCCGGGAAAGTGTAAAAGTAAAATAAAAAATTACACTACGAGCTGCAAGTTGAAGGGACCGCAACGGGGGGAAAATACAAGGGACGGGAGAAGGAGGGGGAAGGAAAAGATCGGGGCAAAAACTTCGGGATGAGCAAAAAATTGGAAAAAATAAAATAGAATAATAAATAAAACAAAACAATTCAAAAAAGTTGTCTACTAGTTTACTCTGTCTTTAGTGAGTGAGTTAGTGGATGATGGTTGGGTTTAGTCGCCTTTTTCCGGGTGAATTTTGGGTTCCGTCGGGACTGAGATTGGCAGCTGCAACGATTTTCCAGAATTCAATGCTAAAGGAAAAAAGTAATAATAATAAATGATAGTAAATCAATCAAGAAGAAAACAAAAAAATTCTTTTTTCTATTCTTAAAACAGTAAGACAATCGAGATAACCTAGATAATAGTGCCAAAAAGGTTTTTTTTTTACCCAAAAATTCCCACTTTTCGTGTGGTGACTCTCCTCAAAACGGAGGGCCATGTTGTGCCTGAGGCTAGCACCCCACACCGGATCCCCACGGCTTCTCCACGACGCAGTGTGGGAGACTTTCCTCCCAACTGCTTCCCCCTACACA